TACATCCTGGCATCGTTTGAAGGTTGTTAAAATAAGTTTCGGTAATAGATTTTTTCTGCAAAGTATGATACTTCTTTATGTGAATGTATCTTAAATATTCTTTCTGCCAGCGTACATACTTTAATAACATCGCGTGAAGGATAAATAAGGCCACCTTTATCTTTTTTAAATATAAGACTTAAATATTTGTCCCTAATAAGAGCTTGCAGACAATCTTTATATTTTATAGTTTTTCTTAATTTCCTAACTAAAAACCCACCGATATACAAAATAATTTCTTCAGTATAGGTCAATTTTGAGGGGTTAAAAATATAATCGTGGTCATCATCGACCAAGAAATTATTATTATGGGGAAATCCTTAATCGTGTCTTCGAGATCTTGAGTGCAGTAGGGTAGACTGGGTACGGTTGTGCCAGGGTACGGTTGTGCCAGGGTGCGGTTGTGACAGTCATCATATTAGCGAATCTGTAAGGAATACCGGGAAGGTTGCAAGGGGAGAGGGGCAGTGTGCCCGTCTGAATGTGTTTCACAATATTGCGTCAGCCATTGCGCGACACTAACGCTAGCAGAAGCCATATTACTTTTTAACAGTCAAAAGTAAGTATTTTTATTCGATATATTTTAATAATTATTATTATATGTGTACAGATATAGCAATGAGTGTTTTCTTCGTAAAAACTGAAACATTAGTAATTATATAGCTATAATTACTTTGTACATATGTTATGTTGTATTGTCATGGAAATTGTTTTTTCGCGAAGAAGTGCATTGGGTACGGTAGTGACAAATAGAAAAAAAATATTTTTGCTTTTAGATGCCTAGGAAACGTTTGAGGAAGACCGAAAGAGGGCAGTGTGATATAACACAATATGAAGATGCTTATAAAGAAGTGAAACGCGGAACTTTTTTACGGAGAGCTGCGGAAATGCATGAAGTTAATCGCATGTCTTTGTTGTGATACATTCGGAAACGTGATGGAGCCGACGCGGGCAACAATAAAGACGGCATCAGCATGGGGTACGTCGCTCATAATAAAGTCTTCTCTGAGTAGCTTTCAAGATATATAAAACGTTGCGCAGAAATATATTTTGGCCTTTCTCCAAAAGAGGTACGGAAATTAGCTTTTTTAGCTTGCCATTAAATACAATCTAAAGGAGAGTTCCCCAAACTTTTTTGTGTCGTAGACCCCTTGCCATGTTTTTCCGTGTTGGGTAGACCCCCTACTTACCTGATATTTGATTTCCTGCAAATTTCTAACTGTAGTGAAGTTTAGTGTTAAAAGAAAGTAAAAACACATGTTAATTTATACATTTCTTAATTGAATTTAAATTAAAACTATTCAAAAAAAATTGTGTATCTGTTATGTAAAATATAAGTAGCATTAAATAAACATAATATAAACTATAAATAAAATAACATAAGCAATAAGTCAGTATTTTTAGTGAGAAGGAAGATAATTTATTATTAAAGCATCAGGGCTTAATAATAAATTATCAACATTTGGCGTCAATTTTGTAAGGGTTAATCTTAAATCTCCTCGGCTAATGATGTCCAGTCTGTTTCTTTTTTTCGTTAGGAGATTGGTAACAGCGCTGAACCCCCTTTCCACTAGGTATGACGATGGAAAGGAAATTAAAAATTTCCTCGCTATATTCCATAATACGGGATAATACGGGTATGTTGTTTTGCAGTCAGAATTGCTGATATCCGTTTTTAAACTGAACCTTAAGTTCTTTGTTTATACTTAGTTCAGTCAGTTCCTCTTGTATTATGACATTCGTTTCTTCTATGTCACCATATGGATATGGATAATTACCCACGGTGGTATTACCATAGTCAAAATATCCTCAAACCTAGATTCAAAATCTGAATAGAGGGCATTTAAATGTTGAACGTAAGTTGAAACGTCGTCTTCCCGGCAGCTTGTTTGTGACAAATTGGGGAACTGAGAAAATTCGCCCCGTCCAATATTTTGCTTCATTAGTTTAACTCTGGCAAGAAACGCTGCTGATAGGATGGACTTTGTTTTATTCAAATTTAAACTGTCGCCTTGTAATTGAAAATTAACCATATTAAACTTTGTAAAGAAATCTATTAAATAGACGATGTCTGATTTCCTTTTCATTAAATTTTCTTTTAAAATTTTATCTTTAGTATCCAGAAATTCCAAAATAGTCTCAAAAAGTGCAAAAAATCTTGTCAAACATAAGCCTTTCGACAGCCAGCGTACTTCAGTGTGAAGGAGTAATTGATGAAAGTGTTCGTCATTTTCTTCACACAACTACGCAAATAACCACGTATTCAACGCGTTGCTTCAAATTCGGTTTACTGCATCAATGACTAAATGAAGTGATTCATGCTATCTAACACTCAAATTTTTAGCAACTAAATGTCGACGGATGACGCAATGTATTGCTAACACCCATGACACATTTTGTTTTAAATAGCTTATAAATCCACGATAACGTCCAACCATGGCAGGTACTCCATCTGTAGCTACTGATATTATATTTGATAAAGGAATTGCTTTTTCAATGAAGTAATCCTTCAAAACATGAAATATTGATTCACCTTTAGTGTCGGTTATCAAAGTTCTTGCGAAGCGCAGTTCTTCGTAGATTTCTTGATTCATAATAAAACGAACATATGCCAATAATAATGCTGCATTATCAGGTAAAGTTGACTCGTCCAGTTGTATAGAGAAATGGGTCGTTTGCAAATAATTACATAAGAAGCTTTCAATATCCGAACTCGACTTTTCGTCAATATGTCTTTCAACAGTATTGTTTCTTAAGGAAATTATTTTAATGATATCAGATGCAGGTTTGTGTAAAACAGTTTTTAAAACCTCTTCAACGGCTGGCAAAATAAACTTCTCTCCGATAGTATGCGGTTTAGTATGCGGAAGTAACGAGATATTGTAAGACGCCCGCAAACCATCATCATTTCTTTGTGACGTCGAAGCGAACATTCTGTCCAGTGTAGGTTCTTCTGAAGTTTATCTTTGAGTGTTTGAAAGTATTTCAAATCTTTCTCTGTTTTATCAGGGTGGCATCTTCTCAGATGATCTTGCAGGTTAGATGGTTTCATAGCGTCATTGCCCAAAACTTTGTTGCATAAAAGGCACATAGGCAATTGTTTGTCCGGCAATGATGGAATAAAGCTAAATTTCAAATAATCGACACTGTACTGTCTACATTTCTTTTTAGATTCGGACATGGCATCAGTCATCTGTGGGCAAAATTAAATTATTTAAATAAGACAGAAAATTTATTATAATACCGGTTGCTAAAACTTTCAAAAAGAAACTATTGAGGAGTACTCGTGTAATTTTGCATGATTGAATATTAAACTACTAATAACTAAAGTCATGATTGGCGTAATTTATCTATCTTTGCTAACTACGAGTACAAAACTAAAATTTAACATTTAAGTGCATATTGTATCAAAAATGATACGATGAGATAATCGATTCATAATTTTGTTTAACTATATACATGCAACTTGGCTGTATACTAAATATGTCCTTTGCCTAATCATCTTTTAGAATGTTGAACTAATCAATGGCCATTTCTTAAATTATTTGGCGGTAACTATGAAAACTTTTTTCTTGTCTGTCATAACCTTTTTCGTGTTCTTTTTGTTGATTTATTTCGAAGTGGTTTTAATACAAAAGCTGAATCAGAAAAATATTAAAAATACATTTAAGAGTACTGTTTCACTATTAAACATATATTTGAAGTGAATTTCACTGGTGTTTAATAAAAAAAATGATAATTTTAGATGTATCAAAAATGATACATTATGCAGTTAGTAGGTAAAATAAAAGATAATGAGATCGAAGACCTTTTGGCAATATTGGAATGTGGACTTCTATCGGAGGACGAAGCAGAGTCTGATGATGATGAATTAGATTATCACACAAATATTGACGAAATTCGTGCTACTCTAGAAAATCACGAGGACGAACAAATGGGTTCCGGTTATTCTCAAATCCAGGACGAAGATGATCCCCCTCTTGTAAATGGCGAAAATTATATGCGAAATGATGATGATCCTCCCCTAATGAATGAAGATAGTAGCTCTGCACAAAATATTCCCAACAGGCGTCATATTACTATTGAAACTTTTAGACTCACATGGAGGAAACGTTCTGTAGAACTTTGTGAAGATAACATTCGTTTTCAGAACGAGACAGAATATTCTCCCGAAATTATGGCCCTAGAAACACCTTATCAATTTTTTAGTTATTTTTTTACTCCTGATTTTTAGATAAGATTGTAAAAGAATCTACTCTATATTCAATTCAAAAAAATCCCGACCGACCAGATCCAATCACAAAATCAGAATTACAAAAGTACTTGGGAATTAATATAAATATGTCAGTTTTTCATTATCCAAATATACGAGCTTACTGGAATAAAAAATACGGATTCATGCCAATTATACAGAGTATGACAATAAATAGATTTGAAAAAATTCGAAGTATATTACATTTGAATGACAACTCCAAACATCTGCCTATAGACAACCCCAATCACGATAGACTACACAAGTTGCGACCTGTGGTAGAACATCTGAATGAGAGGTTTTCCAGCATTCCTATAAATCAAAGGCTTTCCATAGATGAACAAATGTGTGCAACGAAAATGGGTCACTTCCTGAAACAATACCTCCCAAATAAACCTCACAAATGGGGGTTCAAACTATAAATGTTTGAACCCCTTCTCTTGCAGGGTATGCATACAAATTTATAATTTATACAGGAAAAGATAATGAACCTATGATGGAAAACGAGCCAGAACTAGGAGTGGTTGGGAACACTGTTGTAAAATTGTTGAGGGTTGCACGCAAAGTAAACCACATTGTTTACTTTGACAATTTCTATACCTCTTTACCTCTTATGTATTACTTAGCTAAGGAAGGGATATTATGTCTAGGAACTGTTCAACAAAATCGGTTGGGTAAGAATTGCAAACTACCTACTAAACAAACAGTTATGAAAAAGACTGTACCTCGTGGATCATACGAAGAATATGTCACCAGCTACGACGGCATTGATTTTTCAGCTGTAAGCTGGAAAGATAACAAGCAGGTTTGCTTGCTTTCAACTTATGTTGGAGCGCAACCTTTAGATACAATAGTAAGGTACGAAAAAGCTGAGAAGTGCCGAAAAACAATAACATGCCCTAAAGTTGTTCGGGAGTATAACGCCCATATGGGAGGTGTTAACCTAATGGACTCCTTTTTAGGTAGATATAGAATCCGAATGAAAATGAAAATGGTATATGCGAATCTATGCGAATATATGGGTGTTATACAAAGATGTAAGTAAAAAGAAACTATTAGAACAGAAGCAAATATTGAATTTGTTCGAGTTTAGAACTGACCTGGCAGATGCTTTATGTAATATTAATACATATGTGGCCGTCCGAGTAATACTAGTTATGAAGAGCCTGAACCTAAAAAAAGGAAAAATGTAGTACAGGTCATGCCGTCACAAGATGTGCGACTTCATGGTATCGATCACGCTCAACATCAACAGCAAAATCGAATGAGGTGCATGATGCCTCAATGTAAATTATTGAGTAGTGTAATGTGTGCCAAGTGCAAGGTTTATTTATGTGCCAAAAAGAACTCTGACTGTTTTAATAATTTCCATAAGTAAAATTACTTAACTTACCATACAAAAAAAGACGTTAATGCATAATGTATCAAAAATGATACAAACTTTTTTTATTAAAATTACTTTAAAATTTCAAAAAAAAATTCGTTATTTTTCCCTGATTTAAGACCTAAACATCTAAATCATATATTTTAATCAGTTAAAACAAAAAGTTCATGCACTTAAGGGTTAATAAAAAATAATGTACTTACTTTTCTCCAGCACTCTCAAACAAAATAACACTGACTCACTATAATTTGTGTGATATACTATCTGTTTATATTTTTTTAAATATTTTCTTAGCACTTTCTTTTTCAAGATTCAGGAAACGAATAAACGGATTTGTCTCACATTCGTATTTATAGAGTGACGTAGCGGTAGGTAGCGAAGCTCTGAGACTGCGACTCTCAGGTTTTTACAAGTTCAAAATGTATTGCGACCACAAAGCGAATACCAACATCCTACAACTTACACAATTTTATAAACATATATAATAATTTTTTTACTTCATAGGTACTTTTATAAATAATGTATATGTTTTGATATTATAAGGTAGTATGATGTAAGTAAATAGGTATTATCAGTGTATGTGTTGAGATCTACTATCGTGGAGCCAATTTTTTTTTCGCTGACGTAGACCCCTTGCAGGTTGTCATAGACCCCTAGGGGTCGATATAGACCACTTTGGGAATCACTGATCTAAAGCGACCTGATACTTGGACTGAGAATGAAATGGCTGGTGAAGAATGGTTTCGTTCATTTATGAATAGAAATCCATCACTCTCTGTCGCGTAGCTCAAGCTACTAGCCTTTCAAGAGCGACAAGCTTTAACACAACTAATGTCAAAGCTTTTTATGACAATTTACAAATTGTTATGGATAGACATACTTACGAGCCCCAAGATATATACAATGTTGACGAAAGAGCCGTCCAAAGACCTGATAAAGTACTAGCAAGACGTGGCATACGGCAAGTGGGAACTGTTACTTCAGCCGAACGAGGCACATTAGTCACGGTCGCTTTTGCAGTAAATGCCTTGGGCAATACTATCCCTCCTTTAATAATATTTCCACGGGTTAGTTATCACGATCATTTTATTAGGGACGGACCAGTAGGATCGATTGGGACAGTAAATCCTTCTGGCTGGATGCAAGATGCATCGTTCCTAGTTTTTCTCCAACATTTTAATAAGTTTTCTAATGATTCCCCAACGCATAAAGTCTTGCTAGTGCTGGATAATCATTCCTCGCATATCCATATTAACACGTTGGATTTTTGTAAATAAAATGGAATCACTTTGCTTTCATTTCCTCCACACTGCTCGCATAAACTGCATCCCTTAGATCGATCTGCCTTTGGACTCTTCAAAAAAGCAATAAATACTGCTTGCGATGGATGGATGCGAAGTCACCCTGGAAAAACTATGACGATTTACGATATACCAGGCGTTATCAAAACTTCTATGCCTCTGGCTATCACACAAGCGAACATTCAAGCTGGTTTTTGCAAAACTGGTATTTATCCGTATAATCGTAATCTGTTCCAAGAAATCGACTTTGCACCGTCACTCAACCACGCCACCTGTTTTTTCGCCTGAAATTATTCGGCCTTTTCCAAAGGCTCTCCAAGGAAAAACAAAAAGTTCCAAAACCAAAAAATCGACCATATATACAAACACGCCTGAAAAAGAGATGGTTAGGCAAGAATATGAAGAAAAAGAGAGACGGTTGAAGGCTAAGCAGGTAAAAATGAATCTTGGTGAACTAAAAGGGGAAAACAAAGGAAAAAGCAAAGAAAAAAAAGGAAGACACCACCGTCGTCATCGGATGAAGTAGAGTATTTCTGTATAATTTGTATGGGCGCATATTCTGAAAGTAAGGCTGGCGAGAAATGGATCAAATGCTAATGAAAATGTGAGCTCTGGTCCCATTTAGAGTGCGCAAGTGGTAGTCGCCATTATATTTGTCATAACTATAATGAGTCTGACTAGGTCTCGGTATCTTATTTTTTTAGTTTTTATTACTTAAAACGAACTTTAGATGCCTTCTAATTTTTGATTTTGCATGTTGATACTTATACAAATGTTTAGTTTTTGTTGAAGGAGAGGTTATGAATTAATATTTACTTTGTATTTTAACACAGTTACCCCAATATATTAGAAATTTTTAGTTAAGTTTTTTGACTGATTGTAATATGAAAACTGTTATAATAGATCTGTTTTGTAGAATTATACCGATTAGATTATAATTAAAGACTGTTATAGTACTTGTAACTGTAGACTCTACAGTAACATTTTTTTAGTTGTTTTAAGCCATAAAAGTGTTCCTAGACTTTATTTCTTTTGTTACCTACGTTAATGTTCAATTTATCCAAAAGAAGATTTATGTTGCCTTATGTAAGATATTATTTGCAATAAAAGTGATTTATAGACTGTTTTTGCGTATTTTTGAACCTGTCACTACCGACCCCAAGCACTGTCAGAACCGCCCCTGGGGTGTGGCCGGTTGTGACATTATTCCTTTTTTTCCTGATTTGCTCGTGTAAGGTAACCATTGTACATAAGTGCAAAATTTTTGTATTTTTACGTAGATAAATGTATACTTTAATATAAAAGATATCTTTCTTCCAGTTATGTGGCATACTAACAAAATTATCGGCTATCCGTTGAAACTTGTCACAACCGTACCCAGTCTACCCTACATATTAATTTTATTTTCATATCGCACTTCTGTGTGAGTTAAAAATTTTATATCCTCCAGAGGTATACAGTTTTCTGACTCAATACCTTTTATTTCCCCGTGTATCACTAGTCTTTTGTAGGCGCTTTGAAATTGAAAAGCTGTTGGATTATTATTATAGCCGCCCTTTGATCGTATCGAGCTGAAGAAGCACTCCAGGTGATCCTGGCTAAGTTAGTATATAGGCAAAAAATTAGGTTTACCCGTCACTATGATATCAGCATACATTTTTATAAGCCTTTGTATACATATTGTCTAATATTAAGGGTTTGTCTAGTTTGTCTGGTGGATAATAGATGGCGCCACTATTATTTTAAGACGCACTATGGTTTCGGTATTGTAAAGTTGCTAAGTCAACAAGAAATAATTTGTTAATTTAATTATAAGAAAAGTGATTGTACACGCTGTATACTATTAAGTAAGGTTGAAATAATACTAGTTTTTACGGAATTTATCGTGTATATTTAACTTTTTAATTACCCGACGTTTCGAGAGCTTTACAGCACCCATGGTCACGGGAAGGACTGAGATGTTCAACGTCCAATTATTAATTCCAAACGTTCCAAACGTCCAATTATTAATTAATTAGTATTAAGTAAGGTTTATTGTTAAACAGTGTAGTGAATCAGTAAGTGTCTTTCTTTCTCGAATCTCGAGGGATCCATAGTGCTCCTAGTGTTGTACATGGTTCTTCGAGACGGATTCAAACCGGTTTTTTGATAGTTCTGGAGGAAACTATAAACCCTCTCACACCAGTAGGGGCAGTGGATCGTTGCTCGGTGTGCCCGGCAGAGGTCGACGTGCTGACCGAGGTTGACTGCTGTGACATCACTAGAAGGAGGTGAAAAGGAAGATCGACGACAGAGAAGGCTGTCAGGAACGTTTCGTACGAAGGCCGAGGCGAGGTATACTTCATCGGAATCAAGCACCGCGCGGAGTTGAATAGCGGAGGATGTGATGTGAAATTCGCAGGAAGTGCAGTGGATTGTGCAAGGTTGTATCATACAAAACTGTGAGTACTCTTTGTGTCTTAACCTTAACCAACATAAACTATACTCTTGTTTTGTTTAAAAAGTAATAGTAAAATTAAATGCCAATTTGAACTTTATTTCCGTGAACTTTTTATCTTTGAATATTTGTGTTAAAATTAACTACTAGTCTTATTTGCATGTAAATCGTAACATTAACTTAGTGTATTATTTCCCAAAAACGAAGGTACGGGGAACCTTTGCCCGATTTTGTCAATTATTTTATTGCAAACACTTAGAAAATTTATTGAACAGTTTAAACTTATAAAATTATAATTGTGACTTGTTGTATTGGATAGTTATTAGTTTCAAGTTATTAAAGCACTTAATATTTGTTATATAATTCCTTCCTAAGATACTATCACGATTGTTATTAAAATTCGTATTACGTTGTAATTTCGTAAATAATATAAATCAAAATGAGTACTGAAAGGAAAAGATTAGCGGAACATATGCACAACTTAATATTTTGTCAGGAGGATCTAAGTTCTCGCATCAAAAAGGCAGACGTAAACTTTAAAAAGAGTCCAAAAGAACGTATCACTAATGTCGCCTCTACACGTTGGCCAATACAGTGGCGAATGTAGTGGCGAATATATTGGCCGCGAGTTGGTGACGGCGTCCACACGTTGGAAGGTCGTTCAGTTTACTTCGGTTCGGGCCAATGTGCGGACGAATTTATAAGCACCGTGGCGCAGTGGCTCAGCAATGAGTGGCTGCACCGGGCGCCGCGGGTTTGATCCCGCACGGAACAAGTATTTGTATGTCCTAAAAATAATTGTTTCGGGTCTGGATGTGTGTCCTTGTGCAATTTATGTTTGTAAACTGCCTACGCGATACGGGAGAAAATCCTAGTGTGGGGTTAACGTTTTTATAAAAGAATTATAAAATAATAGTGGATAT